TTATTTGTAATACATGTGTGTGAAGCCCTGCAGGGTGGAAAGATTTACTACTCCTTCTTGAACTGCATCGGCTTTTGTTTTCTGGCCTCCACAGGCGGGATTACTGGGATGCCTGCCAGGTCTGCATAGGTCACAGGTGGGCTGCTATTGTTGTACTGAAGTTCAAAATCGGAACCACTGTGATGTGTTTGTGCGTGTAAAAACAAAACTAGAACCAAAGTTGAGAGGTTAGGAAACTCAAAGTGTACAGTAATGAGTTGGGCAAGCACAGGCAACCTCAAACGCCATCACCATGTTGCTGCACGGGAAATCATCCCTAGGCCCTAGCGTATTTCAGCTTGTTGGTAAATCATCAGTATTTAACATCCCGCGAAGACCAGCAAGGTTTGTTTGAAAGAACTGCAGATAACCCGGCCATGCCATGTTTGATTGCCACCCATATCCCCATCGTAATCCCCATTGTTCACGCTTAAATCCTGATAAATCCCCAAGCAATTCCCATAATCAATGGTTAAATGCACTATTGATCAATAGGTTATCCCGAATGGTGAAAAAACATTGAAATCCTATTGATCAATAGTTAAATCATGGTAATTCAAGCAGGCAAATGCCTTTTGTCAATGGCAAAATGCCATACAAAATCCCTATAAATATTTTAAATCCCCAAATATCCTCATCAAATCCCATTAAATCCCATCAAATCCCATCAAATCCCATTATGAATTCCTGCGCTGAAACCAGGCCTCTTCGCAGCCTGCAATGCTTTGATTCCCCCCTGGGGCATCGCCCCCATCATTCTTTTCGTGGGCCTAGCGATCAATCAAGACGCCTTCAACGTGGTGGAGTCGCGACACATCCCGGTTTTTTGGAGAAGAAAATCTGAGGGATTTTGGGGGTCTAGCCTCGATTTTCTATGGGAAAGTCATCTAGAAAGTTTTGAAAAGGGACGCTGACAGGTTGTGAAACTTATTTTTTTGGAAACAAAACGTGCGTGAACGATGACAAATGGCTATAAAAGCCTTGTTTTTCGACCAATGTTTGGGCCACCAACGACTAAGGCTGCCATAGTAGGACTCTTCCCACAGACGGCCGATTGGATCCTCTCCATCTGGCCCGGCGCGCCGGAGTCCAAGCCAGGCACGGCGTGATGGCAATGGGTCACCAGCCTCAAGAGGGGTACCCTGGGGTACCCTGGTGACCCAAAATAGCCTGGATATTCATGGATGCTCATTTTCAGCTCTTTTTTTTGTTGGAATGGTTTTAATCCATTCCCACAGGATGATGTGATTCAAAACTGCCATCCAGTGAACATCAACCATGTTGCGTTATTTACTGTTGGCGAACCATCGTCTGGCAATTTAAGATAGCTGGGGAAAGCGGACATGGCCCATAGAAATAGGTGATTTACCTATTGAAGCATGTGATTTTCAGTAGCTATGTTAAACTACCAGAGGGTAACATTAAGAGTCACTTGACTTTTGGGGTCGGATAGAATCCCAGCACTCAAAACCCAGCATACTCAGCAACATACGGGATATCCATGTGATATGCCCACCCATATTTTTTAGCCAAATAATGATCCATTCACCCAGCAGGGTTCAGGACGATTTTCAGGCTTGACCTCCTTTCAGCCGCCTGCAGGTTTGGCAGCGATGTCTTATGGTGCCCTGGTGGTATGCATCATTTGGACTTCCATGGGCGCCTTGGCTATCTGTGGGACCAGCCATTTCCAGGACAAAAATTCGGATATCTCACCATGCTTGCTGAGAAAATCACCAAATTGGTGAGTCACTGCATTTTGCGTGGCAGATCCATCAGAGAGTCATAGCCATACAATCCTATATACGTATAGTATTCTGTCATATTAGTCAAACTACATATTATAACTAGTTTTTGTGGGTATATATATATATATATCATATATACACTATTGTATTTCAACAACTGTGTGCAAGAAATGTTTGTTATTACGTGTATATATATATTATCACATGCAATTGTTAGATATATGTGTATGTGTATATATAAATATGTTGATTACGTATAGTCAATGTATCAATCATTCAATCAATCAATCAATCAATCAATACATACATACATACAGACATACATACATACAGACAGACATACATACATTACATTACATTGCATTACATTGCATTGCATTACATTACATTACACTACCATACATTACATTACATTACCATACATTACCATACATTACCATACATAACCATACATAACCATACATAACCATACATAACCATACATAACCATACATAACCATACATAACCATACATTACATAACATACCCATACATACATAACCATACATAACCATACATACCATACATTACCATACATACATTACCATACATAACCATACATAACCATACATAACCATACATAACCATACATAACCATACATAACCATACATAACCATACATAACCATACATAACCATACATACATAACCATACATAACCATACATAACCATACATAACCATACATAACCATACATAACCATACATAACCATACATAACCATACATAACCATACATAACCATACATAACCATACATAACCATACATAACCATACATAACCATACATAACCATACATAAGCATACATAACCATACATAACCATACATAACCATACATAACCATACATAACCATACATAACCATACATAATACATACATACATACAGCATACATAACCATACATAACCATACATACAACCATACATACCATACATACATACATACATACATACACATACATACATACACAGACATACATAGATACATACATACATACATACATATATACATACATACATACATACATACATACATACATACATACATACATAGATACATAGATACATAGATACATAGATACATAGATACATACATAGATACATACATAGATACATACATACATACATACATACATACATACATACATACATACATACATACATACATACATACATACATACATACATACATACACACTACATATGTGCATAGTACATACAGCCCAACAACTAGTTGCCAGTTGGCAGTTCGATTGTCTTCTACTTTTCCATCCCTAGCATGGAACATGAAGTGGCTTTCATGTCCCCAATTCACCCTTTTCTTTATTTATTTATCATCCCATTAATTTAAGTGCCAATTTGAAGGAACCCTTCGTAGTTGGGGACCATTCAAGCCATTCAAATGTAATTATATATATATATATATGTGTATATAGGTGTCCTGTAAGTGTTCCAAGGAGTCCATTGATCAGGTATCTTCTTGATTGATCGGCGCTTCGTTCAAGCGGGCATTTGGGCGATGGTCGCCTCGTGTCTTGCAGGGCTGGGTCTTATCCATCAAGCAGAGGCAGACCTCACCTTCAAGTGCCTTGGCAGATGATCCAAAATGAAGGTTTGGCAGTGTTCAAACCTCTGGTTGCTTGATGGTTATAAGGGACTATACCAACCAAGCTGGATCCGTCGTTCAGTTGATCATATGGAAGAACTTCACGTAAAGTGGGAAGAAATATGGGTCATTTCACGCAAGAATACTTGATGTGAACGCGCTGAAGTAGACACCACTTGAAGCACTGACCATTTTGGGGGTCACCCTCTGGTACACAAATAGGCTGCCTGGGAAATCTGCATGTTGCCAGGTTAGACTACTAGAGGGGAGACGAACGCCTACAACTACCAGCAATTTTGGCCTGTCAAAGCCAAGACTGCCGTTCACACATGATTCCCTTGCTTTCCTTTTTGTGAACATGTTTTTTTAAATTAAAACCTTGTAGATACAACAGCAGTAGAACTCATAGCATATATCATATACACATACCACATTCTACACATGTATATGTATGTGTATATATAAATGTACACGTGCAAACAATATATGTTTCAACACACACACATTACGTATTTGTATATACTGTATATACATTTGTTACACTCACAAACTTTTCTGGTTGGTGGTTTGGAACATTTTTTTATTTTCCATAATGCATGGGATAATCCTTCCCATTGACTTTCATATTTTTCAAGATGGTTGAAGCCACCAACCAGTTTTTATATCAATATATAGTACATCTTCATCACTAAATTTGGGTTCAGATCCCAATGTTTCCCGCTGTGGAGCCCAGGACCTATTCGGGCTCCGCCACGCAGCCCTTCGGCCGCTCGCCTGCCGCCTTTCAGTTGGGCTACATGACCCTGGCGCTTCTCTTTGGCTGCTTGGTTTCGGCGAGGAGATTCGGAAACCATACAGGATGGTGCCCCCCAGTTATAAGTTGGTTTATAAACCCCATTAACTATAGTTATATCTGCCATAAACCATAGTTATGGGAGTTATAAACCAACTTAGCTAACGAACTGGGGCACCACCTTGTAGGAAAACCCATAGGAAAATGGGGGACTTCACCCAGGAAAAATTGGACTTCATGGGATCGCTGATTTTTGATTGAAGTCGCTAAAAAAAGGTGAGTTTACAACCCCAGTGTCACTATGGTTTATGGTACTTGTAACTACAGTATTTGTGGGGGTCATAAACCAATAAACATAACTGGGGGGCCGCACATTTCAGATATGCAAGAGCCCCTGTAAACATTTGGAACATGGTGATGGAACCAGTTAAAATGGGGATTTAACGGGTATATATATGTAATGATATATAGTCATGGAGATATAATGGGATGTGATATAACCAACAATATAATGGGTGGGTACGTCTGAAAGGGGGAATACTTCAGCGGCACATGGAAATTGAATTGAGAAAATGATGATAAACCAGATCGATGGGAATTTCTGGGATATCCTCTTACATAGGCCTTATATAGGCCTTATATATGGTAGGTACCTCCAATTTAGGATCCTGGAATGGCCATTGACCAGAGGACGTTCTTATCTTACTTTCAGGCAAACCCCAGTTTCGAAAGCCTCAACAAAACGAGCATCAGCTGCGAACCCAAAGACTTCCATGACAAGTTGAGAAGTTTGAAAAAAAGGCAGTGCTTGGACAGGAGTTTGGACATTGAAAAATACCCGGTTTTTCTTCTTTACACTGGTTGAGTATGGTTGATTCATTGGCTATCATAGTAAACCAAGAGTGGCCATACATATCCATAACATTCAGTAACATTCCATAATTCCTTTGTACATCGAATCCATTTCTGAACGAAGTCGATCTCCGCTGTTCCACCAGCTCTCCTCTGAGGAGTGCTGCGAATTCTCCAAAATTGCGGCTGCTCGAGAGTACCTCCGGAGCGAAAGGAGGTTGACGACAATGATGCAGAAAAAGAAGCCGAAGAAGTCGTGCGGCTCTTAGATTGAGTGATGAGGATGATGAGGATGATGAGGATGATGATGATGATGATGATTCAGATGAGACACCGAGGGTAGCCAGGATTCTCTGAGAAAGAAACACCCAAAGCGGCCCCGGGATATTTTGTACACCAGAGTAGCTGATTTTGGACTGGGGTTTTGCGCGGATGGATGGCAAAAATAGGAATATGCTACGACTTGGGCTACAGTGAAAATCAAAAAGAAGACCTGTCGAAACGTCGGTCATTCTCTGGTCGCAAGTAGGCTGGGTAGGGTTATAAAGTTGTACATGCATGAAATGATGCACATCATGCAACTGTGCAGTCCAAGTGAAAGTACAAATCTAGGTCTGTCAAATCCAATTAAAAGTAATTAATGGCCAAGCCGCCAAGCCCTAAACAATCTTATTTCACTATGGCACCATTGCTTCAAAATTGATCTTGATGTGTGAATCTTTGTCAACCACTGCAAGTTCGGCTCGGACATGTTTGAACCCTTTGATGTGACGATGTTTTTGTTTGGGCGCATAACATCCCAGCTCCGATAGGAATGATATGGTTACCCCAAGCTCGCTGGATTGTTTATATATATTTCATGGAAGATCCTATCAAAAAGGATGGTTTAGGGCCTTTAGGGGTACCCCCATTTTAGGAAACCTCCATATGGTTATATATTATCATATATATATATATCCCATGGTTTTTGCCGGTGGTTGGGTAAGTCTTGTTACTTCTGCTCGTGTAGCTGAGCAAAAAAAGAGTTGCGTAGATTGGTGTGCCATATCGAGGAAGATGATCCCCAGCCATGAAAAAGAACTGGTTCCTGGAACTAGCTCAATACCCTCTGGTAATTTCACATAGCTATTGAAAATGGCCATGAAAATAGTTGATGTATCTATTGATACTGGTGATTTTCCATAGCTATGTTAGTTTACCAGAGGGTAAATCCTATAAAGATCTATAGAGTAACTGGTTCAAATTCCCCATTTTGCCATGGTCAAATCCTATAAATCCATGTAAAATCCCTATAAATATATACAAATCCCCATTTTGACTGAGGCTGAGAGGTGTAATGAAAGACCTCAAACTCGAATCTTTGATGCGATGATGAGTGACTCGGCTCACTTGGACCCTGAACATCAGTGGATGAAGGTGCTTGGTTGGCTAAGTCGCTTTATAACCACTATAACTAGGGTCGCTGGTAGATATATAAACCATTTACCTATGGTTCATGGGGTTTATAAATCATTTACCTATGGTTCATGGGGTTTATAAAGCCATTTACCTATGGTTCATGGGGTTTATAAACCATTTACCTATGGTTCATGGGCTTTATAAAGCCATTTACCTATGGTTCATGGGGTTTATAAATCATTTACCTATGGTTCATGGGGTTTATAAACCATTTACCTATGTTTCATGGGGTTTATAAACCATTTACCTGTGTTCATGGGGTTTATAAACTATTTACCTATGGTTCATGGGGTTTATAAATCATTTACCTATGGTTCATGGGGTTTATAAAGCCATTTACCTATGGTTCATGTGGTTTATAAACTATTTACCTATGGTTCATGGGGTTTATAAACCATTTACCTATGGTTAATGGGGTTTATAAACCATTTACCTATGGTTCATGGGGTTTATAAACCATTTACCTATGGTTCATGGGGTTTATAAAGCCATTTACCTATGGTTCATGGGGTATATAAACCATTTACCTGTGTTCATGGGGTTTATAAACTATTTACCTATGGTTCATGGGGTTTATAAACCATTTACCTATGGTTCATGGGGTTTATAAACCATTTACCTATGGTTCATGGGGTTTATAAACCATTTACCTATGGTTCATGGGGTTTATAAACCATTTACCTACGGTTCATGGGGTTTATAAACCATTTACCTACGGTTCATGGGGTATATAAACCATTTACCTATGGTTCATGGGGCTTATAAATCATTTACCTATGGTTCATGGGGTTTATAAACCATTTACCTATGGTTCATGGGGTATATAAACCATGTACCTATGGTTCATGGGGTTTATAAACCATTTACCTATGGTTCATGGGGTATATAAACCATTTACCTATGGTTCATGGGTTTATAAACCATTTACCTGTGTTCATGAGGTTTATAAACCATTTACCTATGGTTCATGGGGTTTATAAACCATTTACCTATGGTTCATGGGGTTATAAACCATTTACCTATGGTTCATGGGGTTTATAAACCATTTACCTATGGTTCATGGGGTTTATAAACCATTTACCTATGGTTCATGGGGTTTATAAACCATTTACCTATGGTTCATAGGGTTTATAAACCATTTACCTATGGTTCATGGGGTTTATAAACCATTTACCTATTTACCTATGGTTCATGGGGTTTATAAACTATTTACCTATGGTTCATGGGGTTTATAAACCATTTACCTATGGTTCATGGGGTTTATAAAGCCATTTACCTATGGTTCATGGGGTTTATAAACCATTTACCTATGGTTCATGGGGTTTATAAACCATTTACCTACGGTTCATGGGGTTTATAAACCATTTACCTACGGTTCATGGGGTATATAAACCATTTACCTATGGTTCATGGGGTATATAAATCATTTACCTATGGTTCATGGGGCTTATAAAGCATTTACCTATGGTTCATGGGGTTTATAAACCATTTACCTATGGTTCATGGGGTATATAAACCATGTACCTATGGTTCATGGGGTTTATAAACCATTTACCTATGGTTCATGGGGTATATAAACCATTTACCTATGGTTCATGGGGTATATAAACCATTTACCTATGGTTCATGGGGTTTATAAACCATTTACCTATGGTTCATGGGGTATATAAACCATTTACCTATGGTTCATGGGGTATATAAACCATCTACCTATGGTTCATAGGGTATATAAACCATTTACCTATGGTTCATGGGGTTTATAAACCATTTACCTATGGTTCATGGGGCATATAAACCATATGGTTCATGGGGTTTACAAACCATTTACCTATGGTTCATGGGGTATATAAACCATTTACCTATGGTTCATGGGGTTTATAAACCATTTACCTATGGTTCATGGGGTTTATAAACCATTTACCTATGGTTCATGGGGTTTATAAACCATTTACCTATGGTTCATAGGGTTTATAAACCATTTACCTATGGTTCATGGGGTTTATAAACCATTTACCTATTTACCTATGGTTCATGGGGTTTATAAACCATTTACCTATGGTTCATGGGGCTTATAAACCATTTACCTATGGTTCATGGGGTTTAAAAACCATTTACCTATGGTTCATGGGGTTTATAAACCATTTACCTATGGTTCATGGGGTATATAAATGATTTACCTATGGTTCATGGGGGATATAAACCAGTTACCTATGGTTCATGGGGTTTATAAACATTTACCTATGGTTCATGGGGTATATAAACCATTTACCTATGGTTCATGGGGTTTATAAATCATTTACCTATGGTTCATGGGGTTTATAAACCATTTACCTGTGGTTCATGGGGTTTATAAACAATTTACCTATGGTTCATGGGGTATATAAATCATTTACCTATGGTTCATGGGGTTTATAAAGCCATTTACCTATGGTTCATGGGGTTTATAAATTGCCTATGGTTCATGGGGTTTATAAACCATTTACCTATGGTTCATGGGGTTTATAAACCATTTACCTATGGTTCATGGGGTTTATAAACCATTTACCTATGGTTCATGGGGTTTATAAACCATTTACCTATGGTTCGTGGGGTTTATAAACCATTTACCTATGGTTCATGGGCTTTATAAACCACTTACCTATGGTTCATGGGGTTTATAAATCATTTACCTATGGTTCATGGGGTTTATAAACCATTTACCTATGTTTCATGGGGTTTATAAACCATTTACCTGTGTTCATGGGGTTTAAAAACTATTTACCTATGGTTCATGGGGTATATAAACCATTTACTTATGGTTCATGGGGTATATAAACCATTTACCTATGGTTCATGGGGTATATAAATCATTTACCTATGGTTCATGGGGTTTATAAAGCCATTTACCTATGGCTCATGGGGTTTATAAACCATTTACCTGTGTTCATGGGGTTTATAAACTATTTACCTATGGTTCATGGGGTATATAAACCATTTACCTATGTTTCATAGGGTATATAAACCGTTTACCTATGGTTCATGGGGTATATAAACCATTTGCCTATGGTTCATGGGGTTTATAAAGCATTTACCTATGGTTCATGGGGTTTATAAACCATTTACCTATGGTTCATAGGGTTTACAAACCATTTACCTATGGTTCATAGGGTTTAAAAACCATTTACCTATGGTTCATGGGCTATATAAACCATTTACCATGGGGTTTATAGACCATTTACCTATGGTTCATGGGGTTTATAAACCATTTACCTATGGTTCATAGGGCATATAAACCATATGGTTCATGGGGTTTACAAACCATTTACCTATGGTTCATGGGGTTTATAAAGCCATTTACCTGTGTTCATGGGGTATATAAACCATTTACCTATGGTTCATGGGGTATATAGACCAATTACCTATGGTTCATGGGGTTTATAAACCAATTACCTATGGTTCATGGGGTATATAAACCATTTACCTATGGTTCATGGGGTTTATAAACCATTTACCTATGGTTCATGGGGTTTATAAACCATTTACCTATGGCTCATGGGGTTTATAAACCATTTACCTATGGTTCATGGGGTTTATAAACCATTTACCTATGGTTCATGGGGTTTATAAAGCCATTTACCTATGGTTCATGGGGTTTATAAAGCCATTTACCTATGGTTCATGGGGTTTATAAACCATTTACCTGTGTTCATGGGGTTTATAAACCATTTACCTATGGTTCATGGGGTATATAAACCATTTACCTATGGTTCATGGGGTATATAAACCATTTACCTATGGTTCATGGGGTATATAAACCATTTACCTATGGTTCATGGGGTTTATAAACCATTTACCTATGGTTCATGGGGTTTATAAACCATTTACCTATGGTTCATGGGGTTCATTTATAAACCATTTACCTATGGTTCATGGGGTTTATAAACCATTTACCTATGGTTCATGGGCTTTATAAACCATTTACCTATGGTTCATGGGGTTTATAAATCATTTACCTATGGTTCATGGGGTTTATAAACCATTTACCTATGTTTCATGGGGTTTATAAACCATTTACCTGTGTTCATGGGGTTTAAAAACTATTTACCTATGGTTCATGGGGTATATAAACCATTTACTTATGGTTCATGGGGTATATAAACCATTTACCTATGGTTCATGGGGTATATAAATCATTTACCTATGGTTCATGGGGTTTATAAAGCCATTTACCTATGGCTCATGGGGTTTATAAACCATTTACCTGTGTTCATGGGGTTTATAAACTATTTACCTATGGTTCATGGGGTATATAAACCATTTACCTATGTTTCATAGGGTATATAAACCGTTTACCTATGGTTCATGGGGTATATAAACCATTTGCCTATGGTTCATGGGGTTTATAAAGCATTTACCTATGGTTCATGGGGTTTATAAACCATTTACCTATGGTTCATAGGGTATATAAACCGTTTACCTATGGTTCATGGGGTATATAAACCTTTTACCTATGGTTCATGGGGTTTATAAACCATTTACCTATGGTTCATGGGCTTTATAAACCATTTACCTATGGTTCATGGGTTTGCTAAACCATTTGTCTGGGCACCACCAAGCGTAGTGTCAGGCAATGAGATCGCAGCAGGCTACGGAGAGCAGGAGGATAGCGAGGGCGGAGAGTCCACCGACGACGGTGATGTGGGTCGGCCTTAAAGGTCGAAGCAGTGCCGTTTTCCCGAAACATGAGGATCCAAAGTGAGCCTATGAAATTGCTGCATTCGACATGTGCCAAGAAATCATGAAATTCATGAAACACTTGAGCTGTAGCGGAGTTTGAGCTGTTGATACAGCGCTGTTGCGGCTGTTGCCCCCTTGCCGCTCGGAGCAAGTTGGGTGCCAAATAGCATCAGCTGCCACCAACAGCCGCTCGGGGGATGGAATCCCAGAAAGGATGGGAGCACGAAGGGCTTCTTTTACATGAATTTAACTATTAATGGTTAATGATGGTTATATAATGATGGTATTATGATGGTTAATGATGGTTAATGATGATTACATCATCTGGTTGGTGGTTTGGAACATTATTTTTCCAGATATTGGGAATGTCATCATCCCAACTGACGAACTCATATTTTTCAGAGGGGTAGGTCAACCACCAACCAGATATAGATAGATATTGAAAACGGCCCATGTATAGTTGATTTACCTATCAATACTGGTGATTTTCCATGGTTATGTCAGTTTTTCCGGTAACTGTTTTCACATCCAAAACCGTACAAAAACCATCAATATCCATCACTTCGACAACTTTTCAGAGGATCTTTTGGTCTTGACCTTGGACAACTTCGTGCCCATCTGAAACCAGTTAACTTTTGGTGTCCATCTCTCAATGGCCATTTCAGGAACCTAAATTGGAGGTACCTACCATATATAAGGCCTATGTAAGGGCTATGTAAGGGAATATCCCCACAAAATATGGCCTTATATGGTACAGTACCTCCATTTTAGGATCCTGGAATTCCCATTGATTCTGCTCAGTGGGACGGTGATAACATGTGAAAATTTCAACCATGGTGCTGGAGAGTTGTCAGGTGAGATCTCTGGAGATTCATGGAGAAACCGACTCGCTCAGCAAAATTGACACACCCAAACTGCCAGAATCAGTACTCCTCAATCAATCGCTTTCAGAGTATGTAGCTTTTCATGATTTTGCTTTGGAAAGTCACATATACATATTCAAAAAAGCCACTTGTAATCATTACTGTATTGAATATACTGTATATCATTACTATACTTTATCAATCTGCATTGTTCAGTCGACTTGTTTGGGGAGGACTGAGTTGTGGATTTCCTACTCCGCAGCGGAGAGAAAAAAAACATCACGTCAGCCTTGGAGCTGGTTGGTTGGGTTCCCAAACTTCCATGATTTCCTGATGAAACATGATGAAACATGGTTTTCCCATGGTTTTCCATGAATTTCCTCAGCCAATGACTGAAGTATGCACCTGAGACAACTACCCATGAAACATGTAGGTATGCCATACGCACAAGGTTTGGAACCGAATATCTATCAGATACCATTTCAGTTGGTGCATCGCCTCAAAACTCTTTGTGCTCCTGTGTACGCGTCGCCGCCACCTCCTTCTCAGCAAAACAGTTTTATATCCTTTGAGGTGTTTCAAGAGCTTGACAACCGTTGCCAAAATTCGGTAAGATAATCAGATAATCAGATAAGAAATACATAGCTTTGAAGATGCAGGTGGCCAGTCATTACTCTACAACCAACTTAAAAGATCTTAAAAGTAACATCCAAAACTGTCTCTGGAACATGAATGACGCACTTTCCGACTTTGCTCAGTTTGCCTCATCTCGTCCAAAACTCTCCGTCTGTGCGGCCATGATAGCCCGGGGCTGACCCGACAATGCTGCGGTGTGTGCCGCTGTGCCAGGTGGCATGCCGCGGCTTGCGGCAGGGTGCCCAGCCGATTCCATCTGACCGTGAAACTTTTCCGGCCAACACGCATAACAATGGAAGCCAACTGGAATATCTATCAGAATCTATCAGATATCTATCAGATATCATTCCATTTTGGTAACAGGGAAAGCCATTTTGGTAACAGGGAAAGCCATTGGTAACCAGGATTCCATTTGGCTCCAGAATCCCCCAAAATCAGGAGAAGTCTTCATCTTGCCCAGTCGAAGATTCTTTTTCGAAACCACAGTTGATCCAAGAAGCCATTGCAATTAGATATGCAACATTATTCTTTATATGATCTTTTTTGATCGTTTATGGATCTGGATCCTAGACTGCCTAGACTCGACCTTTTTTACAGTGTTCATCCTATGTGGGACGTGACGAGGAGAGTTCCATGGACCTCTTTGCTCCGCCAGGCACTGTCAAGTCGTCAAAGTTGGGGCACATTCCGATGCCGCGTTTGTTGAAAGAAATGCAGATAAACATCAGATAAACCATGATTCACACACACATGGGGCATCGGATTCTCCATTCAATTTGAGCTGAAACGCCGAAGTGAAAGTAATATATCAATATATATATTTATATAATAATAATATATAATAATAATAATGATAATGATAATAATAATAATGGGTTAGTATTTTTTTCCGTGGTCCTAGATATGTATTGGTGGAAGGTGGCGCTCTTGCGAAGCATACCCCTGAAGCACACCCCGAAGCATAGCCCCGAAGCATACCCCGAAGCAAACCCCCAAAATGAAGATCATTTTTGAGGGCTTGTTGATGGTTGTTGTTTGGAGATCATGGGTCGCGACACTTGCTTCATGCTTCCTTTAGGCGCCCTTTGCGCCATCCCGCCCTCCATCCCCGCAGTCTGGCTGCCCTATGCAGCCAAGTAGGTTGAAGACAGATTCGGTGCTGACAGGCCGCTGTAGCTTCATGCTGCCTTTAGGCGCCCTTTGCGCCATCCCGCCCTCCATCCCCGCAGTCTGGCTGCCATGTGCAGCCAAGTAGGTTGAAGACAGCTTCGGTGCTGACAGGCCGCGGTAGCTTCATGCTGCCTTTAGGTGCCCTTTGCGCCATCCCGCCCTCCATCCCCGCAGTCTGGCTGCCATGTGCAGACAAGTAGGTTGAAGACAGCTTCGGTGCTGACTGGCCGCTGTAGCTTCATTGTGGCAGCCGATACCGTTTGCATCGACTAGCTTCTGGTGCTGACTGGCCGTTGTAGCTCCTGTCTAGATCTGATACGGTGTGCTGAATAGTGCTCCGCGAATCATACCCGAATCATACCCGAATCACACCCGTTTCATACCTCAAACCTTCAACTTCCAGACCCTGGCACATTTTGAACGCGTGAGTAAGGTACTTCACATCTCTGCATAACCCTGAAAATAAGACATCCTTGCCCATACCGCCATGGCACCAAAGCTATGGCTTGAACCAACCACCTGCTGTCAGGAACAAACGTGCTTCCTACAGCCAGCTATGCCTTGAACCAACTATACCTGCTGTCGGAACTAGCCTCGGGCTTCACCTGTACTTGGGAAAGCCAGACTCTGGCCCTTGGCGGTTGATTTAGACCAGAAAACCATACGTGTCTCTCTCTCTATATTTATATGTGTGCAAGGATATACACAGAGATATATAAAAGGTTGGAAAGTTTGTTGGAAGCCTCTTTGATATGAAGTAAGTTCCATGTGATGAAGTTCATGCGAAGCAGACCCCGAAGCATACCCCCGAAGCAAACCCCGAAGCATACCTCCGAAGCATACCCCCTAGACAAACCTTCCAGTGGGGATACGGTATTTCCAGACGAACCCAATAATAATAATTATAATAATAATAATATATATATATATATCATATATCTAAGCCCAGGTCTGGAGTTCAAACGAACATTTTCTGAATATGGGAATCTAGGTTCATTTGATCATAAAACTCGAAGGATCACCCCAGGTGCTTTGAACCAGGGATGATCGCTCTGAACCAAGCATGGATTTTTCTCGAAAAAAGGTCTGATACATTATTTCAACGTCTTTAAATGAAAAGGGTTTTTGGATATATATTTTTACTGTTAGATATCTCAAAATTCTGCAACATGAGAATCATCACAGAAAATGATGCTAATATATTCGTAGAGCAATTCACCATCCCCTTACATTGACCATATTTTTAATATTTTTTAATCATGTTTTTGGGTGGTTTTTGAACCATTTTTTACCATCAATCCATATGAGCTACAATAGTATTCGAGGCATGAGCTGGGGCATGGAAAACGATCGTACACTGGTAGAAAACGATACCAGAGGGTAAATCAACTATAAATGGCTATTTTCAATGGCTATGTTAAATTGCCAGAGGGTAACTGGTTGGTGGTTTGGAACATGAATTTTATTTTTCCATTCAGTTGGGAATGTCATCATCCCAACTGACTTTCATATTTTTCAGAGGGGTTGAAACTGCAAGAAACCACCAACCAGTGTCCCATTGATTTCCCATTGAGTTCCAGAATTTTCCCATAGCTATGTTAAAATTACCAGAGGGTAACATAGCTATGTTGCTGATGTTTGATCTTACGAGTTGGCATGAACGCATGCCAGGTGACCTCTCACGTCCAGGCCGCCCGGAAAATGTTCACAACGCGAAGCTACCAAGCCAAGCCCAGATTTTTTTTCTCTAAGCCATGGAGAATGGCTCATGAATACTGTAGTTTTACAGTGGTTTATTGGGGATAATTGGGGATGGTGTCGATCTTCCTATCTTCGATGTACCTAGCCATACGAAGATCCCACTGGAGCTCCGATGACTTCGAACTGTGAAAGATATATGTTGCGTATGGCCAGAAGCAACCAGGTTTTTTTCTATATGGGAAAGAAAATCCAAGTTTGCATGTAAACTCAATAGTTGCCAATCATGAATAGAAAAACTGAGTACTGTACGATTTTGGATGGTTTATTGGATGGTTTATACATGTTGATACCAGCCATTTCTGGTAAAATTCCGTAAGATTGGGAATGGGTTGTTGTGAATGCCACATCATCAAGTTGGTTCAGAAAGGCCAACTTGAGTTCTGTGGTCAATCCCAACTTCATTTCTTTGGATAAACCCTTGATGCCTTCCCACCTTGGGTCACGTTTTTGGGCGGGATCATCGGATCTATGGAAATCCATCCCAAGTTGCTGAGAAGCGACTCGACTTGGATGAAAAAAGCGAACGACTTGTAGCAGGACTCCCAAAATTGGATAAGTAACTTGATAAGTAAATTTAATAATAGTGGGATATAATGGGAATATATATATATATATAGTGTATATATATAATATTATAATGTCAACCCCGGATTTATCTAAACCCTGGTTGATTTTTTTTGTGGTGCTTCCCCCAAATAGTGATTTTGATGGCTACTGAAATGGTACCCCCCCCCAATTTTCAACAGCCGTAAACGGGGTTTATGAAAATCCGGGGTTGACATTATAGATATCAGGCCCATTGATTTCCAGGTTGGTGGTTTGGAACCATGGAATTTTATGACTTTCCCATCATATTGGGAATAGCAACACCAACTGACTAATATTAGCCATATAATTAATCATCTGTTTGGTGGTTTCAAACATGAATGGATTATTTTCCATTTCATAGAAAAGGGATGTCATCCGAAACCCATTGACGAACTCCATGAACTCCATCATTTTTCAAGATGGGCACAGCCAGCACCACCAAGCAGTTCTAGATTTCCCATTGAGTTCCAGAAATGAGTTCCAGAAATTTCGGCCTCCCCAACTTTCGGCCACGTTTTTCATCACCCTTCGTCAGGCTGCTTCATCGAAGCTCCAGTGGACAGGTGAAGCAGGTGCCGAACCATCAGATGATGAGAAATGCATAGATGTTCGGCGATTTTATGATCGAAGAGCAGAGAAATCCACCACTTTTGATCATTGAAAAGCAGGGAAAATGACTGAACATGAATGAAGAATCATGAACAATCATGAACAATCAATGAACATGATGCATAGCCAGTGGATTTTGACTTATTAAATATATTTAAATATTTTCTTGTCCTACAGTAGATGGACAAAATATTCAAACCCTGCAGCACGCACTATGTTGAACCCCCGCACCCCCAAATCTCAATGTTTCAGCGCGCGTGTTAGCAAAAGTGATGTTAGGGGTTTGATTTTTTTCGTCCATTGGGGCTAACGCACTTCAGGTTACAATAACATTGAACTTTGGGGGCGAGGGGGTTGTACCGGATAGAAGGGGTTTGAATATTTCGTCCATCTACGGTACCAACTGGGGTGTGCGGCATGCCGCACACCCCAGTTGGTACCGTCTCGCTCTCTGATGTTTTCACATCTTTTGGTCTCCAAACTCTGTTGTGGAAACATCAATGTGCATGCTGCTGATCTTCTTCCAAACTGCGCAAAACATTGGCTTTTCACAAGTAAATGCCTCCTGTCTGTCTCCCGTCCCATTTTTTCTATTCCCTAATTCGCAACTTATTCCTAAGTGCACAAAACATTGTGTTTTCACAGGTAAGTGCAACCTTTGTGCTTCCCGTCCCATTTTTTTCTATTCCCTAATTCGCAACTTATTCCAAACTGCAAAAAACATTGTGTTTTCAAAGGTAAATGCTGCATGTGTCTCTCGTCCCATTTTTTCCTATTCCCTAATTCAAAACTTATTCCAACACGCACAAAACATTGTGTTTTCACAGGTAGATGTGCATGTCTCTCTCGTCCCATTTTTTCCTATTCCCTAATTCACGACTTATTCGTTTGACGTGGCCCTGCCAATGGATTTTGCAACTTGAACAGCATGAGACACCTCCTAATTAAAAATAGGAAATATTTTTCTCTTAAAAAGAAGCAGCACGTCACAAATGACAAAATCCATTGGCAGGGCCACGTCAAACGAATAAGTCGTGAATTAGGGAATAGGAAAAAATGGGACGAGAGAGACATGCACATCTACCTGTGAAAACACAATGTTTTGTGCATGTTGGAATAAGTTTTGAATTAGGGAATAGGAAAAAATGGGACGAGAGACACATGCAGCATTTACCTGTGAAAACACAATGTTTTTTGCAGTTTGGAATAAGTTGCGAATTAGGGAATAGAAAAAAATAGGACGGGAAGCACAAAGGTTGCACTTACCTGTGAAAACACAATGTTTTGTGCACTTAGGAATAAGTTGCGAATTAGGGAATAGAAAAAAATGGGACGGGAGACAGACAGGAGGCATTTACTTGTGAAAAGCCAATGTTTTGCGCACTTTGGAAGAAGATCAGCAGCATGCACATTGATGCTTCCACAACAGAGTTTGGAGACCAAAAGATGTGAAAACATCAGAGAACGAGACAGTAGATGGACAAAATATTCAAACCCTGCAGCACGCACTATGTTGAACCCCCGCACCCCCAAATCTCAATGTTTCAGCGCGCGTGTTAGCAAAAGTGACGTTAGGGGTTTGATTTTTTTCGTCCATTGGGGCTAACGCACTTCAGGTTACAATAACATTAAACTTTGGGGGCGAGGGGGTTGTACCGGATAGAAGGGGTTTGAATATTTCGTCCATCTACGGTAGTTTCAGACAAACCGAAAACTGGACGTGTCATGAAGCCCAAACTGGCCAGAATCATCATTTTTTACACCGTAGAACCACCATGTGATGTCAAAATTACCGACCCAAGGGACAGATTCCGGAAAAAAATTCTGATAGCCCGTGGTAAATTAACTTGTTGACCCTGAAAATGACCAATTCTGTTTGTGGTCTCACTAGTCTTCCAACCCCGATGACTGCCAGGGTCTATGTTAATTTACTGATAGTATTCATTCTTTTTTGGGGACCAACACAACCCAAGAAAGAATCATGTACCCCGATTTGCACTCGCAAGCTTGTCACATCAATGGGAATTTCAGGATCCTAAAATGGAGGTACTTTTTCGTACCATATGTAAAAGGCCATATAAATTGTGGGGATATTCCCTTAGGCCTGATATTTATAGGCCAAAAATATATATGGAAATCGGTACCTCCAATTTTTATCGGTTCCTAAAATGGTCATTGCTCACATCATAAATGATTTTCAGCAGGACTTCGCTTGGATCCAACTGATCCAACCCTTGAAATTTTGGATGGTTTAAGATGACATAAAGCCACTAAGTCACAACGAATTGCCGCAAAAAACATACAGAAATATATACCCCATAGGATCCATGTATGTTGTATATGGTAACATTTACTATCAATATACCCCAAATGTTTGCATATATACCATACATGGATCCTATGGGTACTGTAGAATCTCACTTGGCTCACGAAAATTGCCAGACATTGGTAGATGAGCCACGAGACTTGAGAGTGCTTTGCTCTCAAGACACATAGACACTTCGTATCGCTCTAGGCGAAGGCAGCCCCATCGCATGCCATGCTTAAGCTATGTGCGATATGCAAGTAGTGCTTAAGGTTTGGTTGATCCTTTGTGAGCAGAACATTTGAATTTTAATGCACCTCAAAAACACCCTGGATAATGTCCCTTATACATTTGAAATTTTTGGATAGGTCTCATCGAACAAAAAGGATAGTGATGTTTTTGCCAACGGACTCGTTACCGTCGCACAAATCCACATCCGGTAGCCTGGGGTGGGGTGGGGTGGGATAATAACGTCATTTGCATTTCCGCATGAACTTGATGCTACGCTCTATGACCTTCAATTGCAATTCCACATGAACTTGATGCTACGCTCTATGATCTTCATTGGCATTTCCACATGATCTTGATGCTACGCTCTATGATCCTCATTGGCATTTCCACATGAACCTGATGCTACGCTCTATGATCTTCAATTGCACTTCCGCATGATCTTGATGCTACGCTTTATGATCTTCAATTGCAATTCCACATGATCTTGATGCTACGTTCTATGATCTTCACTTGGCATTTCCACATGATCTTGATGCTACGCGCTATGATCTTCATTGGCATTTCCACATGATCGTGATGCTACGCTCTATGATCTTCACGGGCATTTCCACATGAACCTGATGCTACGCTCTATGATCTTCAATTGCAATTCCACATGAACTTGATGCTACGCTCTATGATCTTCATTGGCATTTCCACATGATCTTGATGCTACGTTCTATGATCTTCATTGGCATTTCCACATGAACTTGATGCTACGCTCTATGATCTTCAATGTGAGAAAAAGTTGCGGTTGCCCTTTTTGAGGCTGAAGTGCTGGAAGGGTTGTCATTCCCAAAGTAGACGAACCTTTTTTTTCCATAGGTTTTGAATGCAAAAACTGGCTTCTCGCTGTGAGGACGTAGTAATTTTGATCATTTTCGCACGCCGGTAACGCTTCCGCCGGGATGTTTTTGCTTATTTTTAACGGAGTGATTCTAGGGGTACACCCGGTACACATCTGGACAATTTGAGCTACTTCAAAAAGCATAACCAGTAATATGCAAGACCTTTAAGATGTCGACATGAAAAGAAATCCATGTTTAAAATTTCAATTGTGACATTCAGAAATCTTAAAATTCCGGAAACCCCAAAAAATATCCAAGAAGTTTATATCATAGTCCCATGATATAAAACCAGTACCCTCTGGTAAACTAACATAGCTATTGAAAATCACCATTTTTAATGGGCATTTCAATAGCTATGTTAGTTTACCAGAGGGTATCCAATCTGAAACTAGTCCCATTTCTCGCCCAGTGAAATTCGGCGAGGCATTGTAGCTGGAGTTGGTGGAGCCGGAGCAGCGGATGTGGCTAAGGTGAAGGGAACGAACGACCGCACCTGACTTATGTGAAAAAATGCCTGGATTTATATGGGATTTTACATGGATTTATAGGATTTGACCATTGAAAAATGAAAAAAATGAACCCAGTCAGTTTATAGGATTTAGCCTCTGGTGAACGTCAACCAAAAAAACTATGGGAAATCACCATTTTTGGATGGGTAAATCAACTATTTCGACTGGGCCATTTTCAAGTTCGCAAACTGTTAGTTTACTAGAGGGTAACATGCCAGTTTTGTCCCAGTTTTGTCCCAGTTTATGTCAGAAGAAATCCCACAACTGTTGTTAGTATGTCAATATGAAGCAAGGATGATCTGGTTGATGCTTTGGACATCGTGACTTCCATCGTGACCTTCTCCATTTTGGGATGATCCACAATGACTTATCTACGGTACCTCTCGTATTCTTCGAGGTTGAAACGGTTGAAACCATGAAGTGATGAGTTTTTGGATCACCCAAGATGGGAAATGATGGGAATATGAAGATGGCACAAGGCAAAGCTACATTCTGCGAATGGCTTTTACACTGTTTACTTCTGTTTACAATGGGCGTTAATTCATTGGTTTTGAATCCTATAGGCGGCTTGTGATGTGATGAATGGCATCATGGATGGAGTCCTATTTCTTTAATTAACCAGTGGCAAACCTCCAGCCATGGACGAACTTAGAACCCCATGAAGCTACTAAGTAGCTATAGCCTTTTTGGCTCTTGATGATCTTGCTGTCCAACTCTGTGTTGGTCCTTGGTCTGAGATCTTGGGATTTACCAAACATAATGGGGATACAACGGGGATATGATGGTTGGTAAACATACCCACAGTTTCGCACTATCCAGCCCACTTCAGCCAACAAGTTGGTGATTCCCTTTGGGTGAAACCCAACTAGTCCAGAAACCAATGCAGGACATCCAAGATTCAGCAAGATTCTAAGATACCCTCTGGTTATGTCAAAATAGCTATTGAAAATACCCCATTTATAGTTGATTTACCCATGAAAAATGGTGATTATCCATGGTTATGTTAGTTTACCAGAGGGTATCCATGTTCATCCTAACAGTATTTGAAGAGACATCCATTCCTCAATACCAGATACCATATTGTGCGGGTGATTGAATCTACCAATCGAACCCGTTCATGATAAAATTGCCCCCTATAAAATGAAACACTTTTTGGCTATACAGTTTTTGTTGGACAAACCATGACAAAACCATATTCAGCATATTGCGGGTTATTATGTATCCTGGTATTTACCATTACATCAGCATCATATTCCCCTCTTTTTACCTCATACCATCTATTCAAATCTATTCCAATGAAATATTTCAATGGCCATTCCAGGATCCTAAATTGGAGGTACCTACCATATATAAGGCCTATATAAGGCCTATGTAAGTGAATATCCCCGCAAAATATGGCCTTATATGGTACAGTACCTCCATGTTAGGATCCTGGAATTCCTAATGAAATATCAATGATTGATATCCAATCCATAGCACCGAGTTTCTTTTCCAAACCAAGACATGTTGAAATCCCCTAGCCATGTGCTACTGTGGCACCTGTCCCCGATGCTCACAGGTGCCTGACATGAAATCCGGTGAACTGCGAAAACTGGCGCAGGTGGCCGTGGGAGCGATATCCTACCGACGCAGAAATGTTGATAGTGTATCATATCTATATATATATATACATTATATCATATATATATAATTTGTATCTGGTTGGTGGTGACTGGAACCATGAATTTTATGACTTTCCATTCAGTTGGGAATATATAATGATCCCAACTGACTCATATTTTTCAGAGGAGTTGAAATCACCAACCAGTATAATATGAATATAATTTATATAATTATAGAATTGTATATATAATATGAATGTTATAAGTGTGCTCTACTTGATCTACTCTGAAAGATTTTTGGGTCACGCCTGGTGACGATCGTTTTTGACCGTCTTTTGCACATATTTGTTCAATGATGATGTCCCTCAACCCTTCAAGTCATATTCTGGTACCTACTATCCAAGGATTAAGATCCATATCTATATAAGATTATCTATAGATGCAGCCTCATTCTAAGTAAATGTGTGGTTTTAAACATTTGTATGACCCTACATCCCAATTTTTGATTTTAAGTAGTAGCTTGTGATTCCGGGGATGATTCTCCTGAGATACATATCTAGAATAATCTACTTCACATTCATATCTAAGATTAAGATGCACATGTGTATAAATATATATATATATGGTACCCCCCAAAGATCTACCATGTTTGACCTACATATACATACATATATATATATAGACATGCACATATGTATACACATATACATATGTATATATATATATATACATATTGTACTTTCGGTAAACCTTAATCACCATTTCTGCTTGTTGAAATCATCATCTACCGACTCAGCAATGTTTCGTCGGATGATCCAGTGATCAATGGAAGATGCCTTTCCTTCCCCGTCTTTGCTGGACATATTAAGATTGTTGATTGTTGATTGTTGGTGCTGTATGTTTATTATATACATACTGTATGTGTATATATATATTCAGTATATACATATATATATATATATTCAGTATATATGTTCAGTATATATATTCAGTATATATGTATATATTATTGGGTGTAACCTTTATCAAAAATAAAACACATGATATTACATATTTTTGGTTGCATCCACCAAAAACAGTGGTTTGATTGTATGTTTTTTTTTCCCGGTAATATGGTCAATACATGTCCATACATGAAATGGATCCCATACTATTCTAGAGTGGATGGTTCCAAAATCCTGCACCATCTTGGATGTTTTTTCAACTTTATGATGAAATTATACATCTTGGTACTATACCAACCATTATTCATTCATTCCATGTTTAACATAAATCGGATGTAAACGATTTTTATGTTTAACATTATGTTTAACATTATGTTTCCACTATACCATTATTTGCTATCATATGTAATGAATTTTTTACCACCGTCTTCGTACCACAATCCACGGCGGATTTCGCGTTTTCATCCGTACCGTCGTACCACCGTCGTACCACCGTCGTACCACCGTCGTACCACCATGATTCTCCCATTTTTCAATCATGGGATTACTCGGCCTGGTAAACGTTTAGCATAGCTGTTGAAAATCCACCCATTTTTAGTGGGTAAAACCTCTGGTAAACGTTAACAAAAAACTGATGGGAAAGATCCACCATGCTATGTAGATGGGAAAATCAACTATTTCGACTGGACCATTTTCAATAGCGAACTGTCAGCCATTACCAGAGGGTAAAACCTCCATTTTCCTATAGTTTTCCTATGATTTTCCCATTTTCCTATGGTTTTCCTATGGTTTTCCCATTTTTCCCATGAAAAATCAGCAGTCGTTACCAGGCGGCGGCGGCTGAAGGTGCTTCTCTTGAGCTTTGGGATGCGCTGGCAAAGCGCTGTCAGGCGCCGTTCATGGGATGGTTTTTCCATGTGGTTTTGCAATCAACAAATGATGTTTTTGTTTTTCCAAACATATGCTGATTTTACCATCAGAAATATGGATTGATGATGATTTATGATGACTTATGATGATTTATGATAATTTATGATGATTCATGATGATTTATGATGATTTATGATGATTTATGATGATTTATGATGATTTATGATGATTTATGATGATTTATGATGATTTAGGAGTTGGACAGAATTGAATTACTACTTGAATTCAGTTTTGCATTAGCTATATAGGAACTTCTATTCAAACAATAAGAGAGGAGCAAGATTATTTGACTATCAGACATGCGAATTCAATGGGGAATTGAACATGACAAATTTGGATTTTACCGCCTGTCAAAGTGAGGTTTCACCATTGCGAAACTGGACTTTCATAATCATTAAATCTGGTTGGTGGTTTGTAACATTTTTTATTTTTCCATACATATTGGGCATAATAACCCCAACTGACGAACTCATATTTTCCAGAGGGGTAGGTATACCACCAACCAGTTTAAAATTGGGGATACCATCCAATGGCCACGGGAGAAAAACATGATAAACCTTAAACATTGAGGTTTCCCCCGAAATTTTCGGACAGATCCGGATATCGCATATGAGTTCCAGGTTGGAACTCCCACGAAGATCCCAGTGAAATGGTTCTGGAAATGCATTGTTTCCTGTATATATCATATTTGATCATCTATTTTATAGACCTTGAATACGTTCCTTTGTATCATGTACAGATTAACATCTAGAATCTTGAAGACACACACAGCAAAGCATTTAAGCAATTTAAGCATAATTTTATGATTTCTTTGTGAACATTTCTAGTGTTAAAAAGGTCATTCCTCGTTGATTCCCAAAAATCTCTCCATCGATTCCCAGGGATCTCCGGAGATCCCCAGAGAGATCGAGATCGATTCCGAGATCCGTGGAGATCCCCTAAAATTAGCCCTACTATACTGTTCCATATACATATATAAACATATATATATATACATATTAGTATATAATATATATTAGTGTATATGTATATATATACACTTTACAGTACACAATCAAAATTTATATGGTGGACTTGGATCATAACTCTAGCCATACTGTTATTAATATGCACTTTACAGACACAAAATCTCTATGGTCTGTATGGAGGACTTGGGGTCATAACTCCACATCAATAGCAGCAAATAGTTGAAGAGTACTGTAGCAGAAACGAAGCAAACAAAATGACATACAAAAGAAACATAAACAACATAAACTATCAACAATTGCCTATTTTACGTGGAAATTTGGGGGCCCCTATTTCGTGATGCTCTCCCGATCCCATGAAAACCCTGGGCCCCGTTTCAGGACAGTGCGGAGCGCTTGAATTATTGGGATGCCGTTGGGAGCCCCTGGGGCGTCGTGAAGGGTTGGGTTTCATGGCTAATCTTTGGGAGGGATCATCAATATATGTATATATATATATATTGATCAATAAATAGGGTTGATCTTTATTCATCAATAATTATCAATATCACTATTTTGATCAATGATCAATAACGAAATATGATATCAAAATTATCATTAATATCCCTCCCAATAATGATATTGATAATTATTAATGGCGATCGGGATCATCAATAATCAAAATGAATCAATATCACTATCAATCTTTGGGATAAAAAAAACCGGCTTATTTTTTGTTTGCTGAATTTTCGAACTAGCTGGCAGCTCATTTTTCTGATTATTGATTTATTGCAACTTCACTATTGGATGATGGAAACATATGGAAACCGTCCCCTGAAAAAAATCTGTTCTGGTAGTGATTGTTTCCCAGAAAATACCCTCTGGTAAACTAACATAGCTATTGAATGCTGTTGAAAATGGCCATTTATAGTGAGTTTTCCCATAAAAAATGGTGATTTTCCATAGCTATGTTAGTTTCCCAGAAAATAGATATTGAATGGAGGAATACGGATGCAAAAAATAGATCCACTAAGAAATTAGACCAATTTTTCGGCAGGTTTCGAAAAGACCCAGGTACATATTCTGCAGGCCTTCACCGAAGCCAACGCGCGGAAGCTGAGGGAGCGAATTTTTGTCACCAAGACTATCCATAAATCCGTTTGATGATTCGTTTTTGATAGCCTACATCTTTCAACTCAGAACATATCTTTCAACTCAGAACATCATCATATGCATACATCTTTCAACTCAGAACATCATTATCGTACAGTGTTAGTTACCCTCTGGTAAACTAACGTAACTATGGAAAATCACCATTTTTAATGGGTAAATCCACTATAAATGGCCATTTTCAATGGCTATGTTAGTTTACCAGAGGGTATCATAATTTTCACATGTTGGATTTCCGCTTCTCACCGGAGATCCTTAACATGATCGATGTCTTTGCACTCCCAAAAAATGACATTAACCTCAAGGGCTTGGCCAAGCGCTTGCTGCTGGTTTGAAATGAGTACTGGTTTGTCGTTTCACCCACATTAGTAATATGGGTATGGGTCAATACCTATAGATACATTTTTAGTGGGATGAACATCCATTTACCAGCTATTTTGATGTTCACCAGGGGTACAAGGTTTTGACACACTGCCACATTTGCCAACCATAATAGGAACATAATGGGATTTAATAGGATTCAATGCGGTTTCATTGAACTTTCTTAGTGTGTGAAAACTGAGATGATTGGGGGAAGACATGGCAAAATTCAGATACCCCATAGGATCCATGGTGCTGCTATATATGGTAACATGGATCCCATCAACATACCCTCAACGTTAGCATATATACCAGCACCATGGATCCGTCATGGGTACTAACTTCCCGGTGCCTTCAACGGCGATTATCAAATCTTTGGGATTGTTGATGGAACCCAAAGCCATATGCAACCCATGGTGCTGGAATATGAATCCCAACATTTATTCAGGGTAAATTATAACGACCTCACTGCGACCTCACTGGAAATCATAGTTAGTAAGGGGAATCATCCCCAAATGGCCTTAATTCAGGTTAGTGAATTATTATAATATACCCAGATTTATTCCATAAATCACCCAGTTTTGTAGGTAAATATACGACCGCACCATGGAGCATTTTTTGGAAATGGCTCCTATTTTTGATACTTGACTTGACTCTTATTTCCATGATCTCGTCCAATACTTTCAAGCAAGGGCTACAACCGGATTCCAGGTATCAACATGAACCATTCCAACAGAAAAGAAATGGCTCTGCTGAGATGATTGATCCCTTCCCCTAAGAATAAACACCCAGAAGCAACCCTGCAGTTTAGTGTTGGATGTGCTCATGTACAGGGCATAGGGCTCACTTGAACCATTTTGTGTAGGTTATTCTACAAGTTCATCTCCATAATATCCCAAACGATCATATACAGATGCATCATTCAATCGATTTATCTTTGATACTTAGATGGTTTAATAGTTTGACATGGTTTGACATGGTTTAACATGGTTTAACCCCAGTTTGGTAGGTTATTTTCCGAATGAAATACCCTTATATTCTCATGGGATGGGATGAAAAATTGCGCTGAGCTCTTGTGAGGTCCCCAACCGTGACCTCTTTCTGTCTCTGGGCGAAGCCCTAAGCGTCGCGACCTAAGGACCTAGCTGCGCCGTGATCTTTTGTGCCTTCCAGGAATCGTCAGTGGTTATCATTCGCCATAGCCATATAATTGCCTAATATGGTCATGGCATAAAGGCTATATCATGCTAGGCTAGATCCAATATAATTATATTTATATATATAATATGATTAATTATATATATATATATAATTTATGAATATGTTTATATATGTTCTAGTGTAACCACTATCTACATTAAACACAACTGGCTTATTTCGGCCTTCACGACCTGGTACAGCGAGGCAAAAGCGTCCAAAATGGCGACAAAGCACGTCTTGGACATCCTGGCAGTCTACGAGGCTGGATTTCTGTGGGATGCGCTGAAATTGGCGTTACTGAGTAAGATGTTATAAGATGTTATAAGTGGCTATAGAACTAGAGTTAGAGAGGTTATATCCTTTCTTATGGTGGTTGTAACATGTTATAGCCTTATGAAGCAGAGTTACCAAGCAAGTTCCAACTGAATCGATTCCCTATACGCGGTTTTATGAATGTCCTTCTCAGCTGAAAACGACAGCATGTCCTGTTGGGACGCAATCTTTCCTTCGGGTAAAGCTTTGGACAAATGGACCATGGAAACCATCAGCATTGATGCGTTTCAAATTCTGTGATCTGCATACAGTAGCAACTTCATTTGCAAGGTGGGTACGGGTTTGAACTGGGCACCCTGATGATTGGATAGTTTATAGTCATCGAAGGAAGTTTAGAAGCTATACTTCCGACAATATGGACAGTTGAAAAGCAGAGGTGAGAAGAGTCAGAAGAGAAAAGATCAGAAGAAAGAAGATGTAGATGCGCGAAAAGATAGGAAAGTCGCGATTCACTGTGTTTTTCCAATGATTTGGGGCTCCGGAGGGTCGAAAAGTAGGCTCGCTAAAGCGGCGGGTGCGGAGCCAGCTGGCCAGATGAGAGAGGAAAAATTGCACGCCGTTGTGGCGCGAAGCACATTTCCAAGTGAAAAGTGACAAACCACTAGAGGAGCGGACCACTTTTGGAAGTTGAGATGTCGAAAAAGTGCACGCCGTTGTGGCGCGAAGCACATTTGGAAGTCAAAATGTACAAAACACACCAATGTCGGACCACTTTTGGAAGTTGAGATGTCGAAAAAGTGCACGCCGTTGTGGCGCGAAGCACATTTCCAAGTCAAAATGCACAAAACACACCAGGTTCGGACCACTTTTGGAAGTTCCGATGTCGAAAAAGTGCACGCCGTTGTGGCGCGAAGCACATTTCCAAGTGAAAATGTACAAAGCACACCATTCTCGGACCACTTTTGGAGGTTCAGATGTCGAAAAAGTGTCGAAAAAGTGCACGCCGTTGTGGCGCGAAGCACATTTGGAAGTCAAAAGTGTAAAAAACTGAGGGTTTTGCGCCTTTTTTGACGTGCTGATGTCGAAAAAGTAGACACTGATTAACTTAACTAACTTGACTAACTTAACTAACTTCACAAACTTAACTACCCTAACTTCGACGACAACAGCAACAGCAACAACAACAACAACAACAACAACTACAACAACTACAACAACTACACAACAACTACAACTAGAACTAGAACTACAACTACAACAGCTACAACAACAACAACAACAGCAACAACAACAACAACAGCAACAGCAACAGCAACAGCAACAGCTACAACTACAACTACAACTACAACTACAACTACAACTACACAACAACTAGAACTAGAACTACAACTACAACTACAACAACTACAGCTACAACAACAACAACAACAACTACTACTACAACAACTACAACAACTACAACTACACTACACAACAACTACAACCACACAACAACTACAACCACACAACAACTACAACTACAACAACTACAACTACAACTACAAAACAACTACAGCTACAACCATATGACTGCAACTACACTACACTAATTACATTACACCACAACTACAACTCCACTACGCTACAACTACAACTACAGCTGCAGTACATCACACTACATCCAGCAGTTGTTGGTGAGGTGACCACTGCAACCATTGCAACCATTCCAGCAAACACAACTCCAACCACCTTTCGGTCAATCAGTGGCTTCGCTCTGCCATCCCTGATTCACAACAACCAACTTCTCCTATAGGTTTCCTATTTTTGAAACTTCCGCCACCGCCTTGTGCGGTACTACTGGTATACTAAAAAGTGAGACCATCCGTCTAATCTTTGGCGTTTTGTGTTGAGGCCACTCAGCCTCGGTCATTCTCACCCTGGTTTCGAAAAAAGCCGTTGAACTTACAATGCGAAAAACCTCATCCAACAGAGCAGAAAGTCTAGGTATCTCTAGTAATCATCCCAGTCATTTTATCCGGGCCTTTTTTGTTTCGCGGCTTCGCCTCGCCACCGTTGTTCGCGCTTTGTTCGAGGCTGCAGATTTGAGGCCAAGGGCTTTGTACGTTGAACTGCTCCATGGCTTGGTCAGACTGTCAAGGTCAGCGCGGCGCAGTGCTGGGCGCCTTATTAGGGGGTGGGATGGAGGTCAGCCGATGATGGCCATCAAACATGATCTGACTTTGAGTCATTTGAACACTAACTGCTTGGTGGTTTGGAACATGAATATAGCTATTAATGGTTAATGATGGTTATATAATGATGGTTAATGATGGTTAATGATGATTACATCATCTAGTTGGTGGTTTGGAACATGAATTTTATGACTTTCCATCTATTGGGAATGTCATCATCCCAGCTGACGAACTCATATTTTACAGAGGGGTAGGTATACCACCAACCAGATTAAAGAGAGAGAGAGAGAGACCCGAGAAATCATAAAGACTAACACAAGGCCGATACAGATAGCCCAACAATGACAGCATCATACTCTGGTCGCCGTTAGGTCAATGCATGGTAAATGCCTATGGAATTTTTCAGATAAACATCCACAAATTATCATCCATTTTGGTAACACCAAAATTTCGATCGATACTTGGATGTACATCCCAGGAATCATAAGTGTTATTTTTTAAACAAATGAGTCTACCCTCTGGTAATTTAACGTAGCTATTGAAAATGGCCATTAATAGTGGATTTTCCCATTAAAAATGGTGATTTTCCATAGTTATGTTAGTTTACCAGAGGGTAACTGGGGATCTTCCATTGGGTATTTCAGATCTTTTCAGATGGTCAAATCCCCCACGAAAAAACAAGTCCTGGGGCAGCTGCCAGGTCCATGTATGCAGAGGAGGTAGCGCTGACTCTCCAAGCCTTGGCGAGGTATAACCTGGGTAATCCAACGGTGCCTCAGCGAAGGAACAGGGGGACAGCGTCATGGTCAAAACGGTTGGATGTTACCATGTTACCGTAGCTGATTGATCTGCTTGGTGGTTTGGAACATTTTTTATTTTTTTTTATGACTTTCCATATTAATTGGGAATGTCATCATCCCAACTGACTTTCATAATCTTTCATATTTTTCAGAAGGGGTAGGTATACCAGCAACCAGATAAAAATGGGGATTCCAATGGGATGGGGCATGTAGTCGTACTAGAAATACAGATGCTTAATTGGAATGTCATGGGATTTTTTTGTAGACGTGGTTTTGCGATGTTTAACCAAGAATTCTTGATATTCTTGGGATTAAAGCCACCTATGTCCATCTTTGATGGACAGACTTTTTCCCCACCTGCCAGGTGAGGGTTGTTAGATTTTATGTCAGTTGCCTCCTCCTGCCTCGTCCTCCTCCTCCTCCTTCTCCTCCTCCTCTCCTCCTCGTCCTCCTCGTCCTCCTTGTCATCCTTGTCGTCCTTGTCGTCCTCGTCGTCCTCGTCGTCCTCGTCCAACTGCGACTCGCGATCCACAGTGTTCTCTGTCGGACCTCAACCACGACCATCCACGCCCAGTGTTCCCTGCCGGACCTCAACCACGACCATCCACGCCCAGTGTTCCCTGCCGGACCTCAACCACGACCATCCACGCCCAGTGTTCCCTGCCGGACCTCAACCACGACCATCCACGCCCAGTGTTCCCTGCCGGACCTCAACCACGACCATCCACGCCCAGTGTTCCCTGCCGGACCTCAACCGCGACCATCCCCGCCCAGTGTTCCCTGCCGGACCTCAACCACGACCATCCACGCCCAGTGTTCCCTGCCGGACCTCAACCGCGAGTATCCACGCCAAGTGTTCCCTGCCGGACCTCATATAGGAAGATAAAATGTCAGATAGAGTGCCAGAAGATTTGCCAGGTAGAATGCCAGAAAATATGCCAGAAGATATGCCAGATAGATATGCCAGAAGATATTCCAGAAGATATGCCAGATAGAATGCCAGATAGAATGCCAGAAGATATGTCAGAATATATGCCAGAAGATATGCCAGATAGAATGCCAGGAAGATATGTCAGATAGAATGCCAGAAGATATGCCAGATAGAATGCCAGAAGATTTGCCAGATAGAATGCCAGAAGATATGCCAGAAGATATGCCAGATAGAATGCCAAATAGAATGTCAGAAGATATGTCAGATAGAATGCCAGAAGATGTGCCAGTAAGAACATGTATAAATGTCATGGTGGGGATCACACGAAGTAAAGTAATTTTGTTTTTGTCCTCATTGGGATGATCCCAC